CACTGGCAAGATTTGCTGGGATCTCAGGATGGCTCTCTTATGCCAAGGACTGTTTGTGTGTTTACAGGAAAGGCTTATTTGGCACAGCACTAACATCGTCGCTGAGGCTGGGACCCAGGGCTTGCCTCTTCCAGTGTACCTAGTGCAAAATTGGGTCTCAAGGGAAAGAATTGCAGAGAGTGGGAGGACGTACCTTATCCTGTCGCGCTAGCATTGCCATTTTATGGGTTTATTTCATGCATTAATTCCTATATAATTTATTTTCTCACTTGATTAATATTTCCCAGAATTTAAATTTTCATCTTTGCTTCTTTTGTTTAACCCCTTGCTGCTGCCTTTTTGCATTCACTGCTCTTAACTAGGGAGTATTTTTAATTAAGATGCCATTCCCTCTCCTATCCACTCCCTTTTACTTTTTACTTTAAGTTTCCCATTCCCGTCAGGGTGTGTTGTAACCTGTGGACCTGTTCCTTAAAATTGTGCTTGTACTTCTCCCATTAATAAACATCACCCACTCGTTCTATACGGATGCCATGTAAACCCCATGTTTGGATTATTAATCCTTCACAATGGGATGTGAATGGTGCACAGGCCATTCAGTAGGCCCAGTATGTGCCTTGCAATGTCCCCTTGGTGTCTGCATTTTAACAATAAGCAAATTATTTGATTCTTTAAAATGTTAAGAATTTGAAAAGGCAAACAAATTTTGGGCTGTGTAGAAATGAAGCTGCTAAACAGGATTCATCCCATTTTGCAGTGCAAAGTCATGACTATGAGTGCCAAAATAACTTGGCTCCTCCACAGGAATGGGTTGTTTGGCACTGGCTGGTAGTCTACATTTTGATGCCCTGAAACCATGTTTTGAAACTCAGTTTCTTTGTCTTCAGCTGGAAGCCGTCCCCATTTTCATTCCTGGCTGAATTCCTTTTCTGCATCAAACCCCATCTTCCTGTTTGTGAGAAAAGTGGTTTGTTTTTGTCTACTTTGAGTTCAGTCCAGCTGCAGGTGGTTTAAAACTGAGGGAAAGATGAGGAGGGACTGCTGTGCCTCCAGTCTCCTCCGGGACAGCTGTGCATGGGTCAGAGCAAGGAATGTCACAAACCACTGGGGAGTTTGAAGCACTGGTCAGCCACAGTGTTTGCTGAACATTGGCTTTGTAGATAAAGAAATGAAAGAAGTAGTATATTTTTCACACTGCTGAGGAATCAGGTAGGCTGCCTACTGTTGATAAACAGGAATAAAGCCCTTTTTTGTACATCATGTCTTTGCCCACATACAGTATCCAGCTTCATTTCTTGAGTAACGCTGTGAATGTGCTACAGAACCAGAGACATGCTTACAGCTCATGTGGCTTTAGGCTATCAAACTAACTTGGACATGGGGAATATTAGCCTGGTATTTTGGGTATCCTCCAGGTTTCTTTTAGGAGTCCAAGGTGATGTTTGGGTGACTAAACTGAGCTAGCTGCTGAACAAGGTTTAGAACATGGATTTACGCATTTCAGTGTGAGCTTTGAATTAATATTGCAAGTAAACTCTATTATACAGCTTCAAGTAATTTCTGGAGCTCCAGTGTGTTGAAAGGGAATTCAAACATGTTGCAACCTTTTGTAAAGGAAATGAGGGAATAGTGTGAGATTTTCCTGTTTTAAAATTCAGGAATCTGCACATGAGTATGTGAGTTGTCTTCAGATGTAGCTGCATTTGTTTGACAGTGGTGGGCCTTTGCCAAGTTCAGTTATGTTAAAGGATCCTGGTTCAGTTTGAATCAATCTATCCCAGTGCTCCGGGGGTTGATGGACTCCCACTTCATGGTTTCGGTCCAAAAATTCAGTTATATTTAAAATCTGTAATGCAAGAAATACTGGAATATTTAATTGAAACACAAGTGTGAGTATTGAAGAGTCAGCCTGTCCTCTAATAAAGGATTTCAAGCTTCAATAGTAAACAAACAGTAGTGCAAACAGGTGGAAGAAGGGTCCCTTTTAATTTTTAAGTGCCATCTCCATCTGACATTCAGGTCTTCCAGCTCGCAAGTCATAAGAAAACCAGCTAGTGGTAGATGCCTAAATACCTTGATGGAGTTTGACATGAGTTGGCCAAGCACTGGAGAAGGTTGTGGAGTCTTCGTTCTCAGAGATACTCAAAGCTCAGCTGGACTCTGAACACTAGAGGCTGAGATGTCAGCCTCCTGAGGCCCTTCCAACATACAGGCATCTGTGATCCCTATGACGGTCATAATGTTGCATTGGCCACTTACCCTGTGCATGCAGATGTGATACTCTGTATGAGCAATGTCAACCAAACCATTTACTTAACCATGCTATTGAGGGGAGTTTGAAATTGTTCCTGTTTCTGTACCGCAGGTGAAAGCTGTGCACTGCAAAGCTGGTGATACTGTTGGAGAAGGAGATCTGCTGGTGGAACTGGAATGACGTGTTGCCTCCACAGTGTTGAATTAGCTAAGCCTTTATTATTTTCATCCACAAAGTAAGATAAGATAATTCAACACAGAAAATGGACAGTCCTACGCACAAGGTTTTATACAGACGTATTTATTGAATCAGTGATTAAGACAGCAAACACAGATGTTAAACCTTGGCAACAGATCCCAGATTTTTGCTTCCAGAAATACTTGTACATAACCTTTGTAATTCTTTGATTTTTTTAAGGATCAGATAAAATCAATAAAATACCATTTCTGCTTTAAAACAGGAAAAGCCTCTTTTAAAAAAAAGAAAACATAACAAAAGCCCAAATCCGATTTGTCTTCTCAGTGGTAACATCACTGGTTTGAGGCCCCAGCCAAACAGTACAGAATGGTTGGTGGGAGTGGAAAAACTAACCACCAAGTGAACTGAGCAGCTCTTCCTACCCTCTGTGTAAGTGCTGAGCAAGTACAGCCAATGCTCTAAATTCTGAGCAGGTTTACTGTTATATTTTGAAGCCTTTGTATAAACTAGATTTGACTCACACATTGGATGTTTTATTTTGCTAGTGCCAACTTTCCCAGTGTATTTTCATTTACAGTTGGCTCCATACTCAAATCCCTATCTCCCCCCCCCCTCCCCCTTCTTTCTATTGATTGGAGAAGAGAAGGCTGCGTGGAGACCTCACAGCAACCTTCCAGTATCTGAAGGGGGCCTACAAGGAGGCTGGAGAGAGACTCTTCATCAGGGCCTGTAGTGATAGGACAAGGGGTAATGGGTTTAAACTTAAACAGGGGAAGTTCAAGTTAGATAAAAGGAAGAAGTTCTTTACTGTGAGGGTGGTGAGGCACTGGAATGGGTTGGCCAGGGAAGTTGTGAATGCTCCATCCTTGGCAGTATTCAAGGCCAGGTTGGAAAGAGCCTTGGGTGACATGGTCTATTGTTAGGCATCCCTGCCCATGGCAGGAGGGTTGGAACTAGATGATCTTAAGGTCCTTTCCAACTATGATTCTATGATTATTCGATGCAAGTCTTTACAGAAGGAGCTGGCACTGTCCTTGAATTCCCTTAGCTACCCCAGGGTAGTGCTGGAGGCATTTGCTGTCCCTCTGGTCAACCTTCCTCCTAAACTTACAGAAAAGGAAGACCAAGTGCCTGATCTGTTGTTGTGCAGAGGCTCTTACTAAAGACTGTGTGAAGAACTAGAAGTGTTCATAATACAAGACAATATCCAGCTGGAAAAGCAGTGTCTCCAGTGTGGGAAACCAGAGATGGCCTGCAGAGGAGGAAGATTGAATACCTGACTTAAACAGAAGTGAGAGGGCTGGTGACTTGGTCAGAACAGGTAAGAAAACAGGGGTTGTTTTTTTTACTGCTCACTCAGGAGCTCCATAACACAGGATGGTGAAGATACCAGAAGTTTACTGGGTTCAAAATGTTAGCGTGTGGTTAAGAAAGGCTTTTTCTTCCATTAACTGATTTAGCTCAGTAATTCAGCAGCTGCAGCTCACTAGATGTAGTGATACCTCTGCAATCCCTGCACACTGTAAGCATTGTCTCTGTCCCTGTGCTCTTGCCTAGGCCTCTGCTGCTGCCCATGCTGGGCCAGGACACTGGGCTGCTCCTGCCTTTGGTCTCACCTTCTACAGCTGTATTTTTAACGTATTTCCTGCTCTCATTTTCTTGCTTCAGCTGTGCAGAGTCATGGTGCTTCCCAGAGAAACCCCCTCTGGCCAGAAGCACCTGGGCCTTATCAGAAGGACAAAACCAGTCTGTGACAGGGCTGATGATTTATGTATAACCAGGGAACATTTGTGATTCTGCTTGGAACTTCTGACTGAAGAGGCATCTTGCACGTTATTGAGACACTGCGAACAGTACCACACGGCCAAGGGGGAATAACGTAGTGCAGGGACTTGCTTTGTTAGTTTACAAAACCCATTAAGGTGAGTAGGGAAGAGTGAGTAGTACCTGCCCTTCAGGAAAATTAATGCTTTTGCAGTAGGAGAAACTGAGGCAGACACCCTGTAGATCTTCCTACCAATCTCCTTAATGCCATCTTGCCCTTTCCAGAAGGAGCACAGTTCAGCTTCTGCAGGTTGCCCTAAACAAAAAACAAGTATTGCGAAGAGACACAAGTATGCTACCTTAAAATTGCTGAAGTTGTTACTGCAACAACACAAGCTTTCTGTCTGAGATGCAGCAGTGCCTATTACTGATAAAGTTCAGGCTGATTCCTTACCCTGGATCCCAGGGCTGATTCCTTATCCCGGACCTCCTCTGGCCATCACAGGGCTACTGGCAGTAAAGCAAAAGTACAGTAGTGTTCTTAATGATATCCTTAGTACATTTCATTGTACTTTGGCTCACTGCATGGCATGCATTCCCTGCTCACATCCTTTTGGCAGCATTGTATACTCTACAATCTGTATGTACCAAACACTGCAGCTGAAGGAAAATACAAGGCACAAGAGTGTAACAACAGAAAGCTACAATTCCCCCAGATTGTACAGAAACCAGCACAGTTGGTTGGGTCAGGGGGACAACAGTCATCTTTCCATCTTTCCCTCCCCCCCCCGTTTAAATGTTGCAATAATCACAATACAGGTCCTTTGGATGTTTTATATCATGCACAGAAAATCTTTCCCTCAATAGGAAATGCAGTTTGCACATGGTTGCAAGTAAGTTCTGCATTAAAGTGCTTGTCAAACAGTCACCTTGATATTTAAATGTTTGCAACAGCTGCATCTGCTATAGTGTGATGGGCAGCTGAAAATAGGTTTGCTTTTCCTGGTCCCCAACACCCCTCCACCCCACCTCCCCAACCCCTACAGTCACTCTGAACTGAAGTGGTACCTAAAGTGCTTAGAATGCTAAATTTAAAATATGATTTTAAATGTAATTTTCTTATACGCTCTTAGTACTTTTTCACAGTACCTTATAAAACTAAACAGGTTTTAAAAATACCCCTTTCCAGTTCAGAAGAACTTTGCAATACAGAGTAAGAATAGTCTTTAAATTTTCTCTATTTCTCCAGCCATTTCGTGTTTGTCTTGAAGTGCATAGTACCTATATTGTCATCTCTCCTGGTTTACATTCAGTAACCTACTAAACACCATTACAAGTCAATATTAAACATGAGTTGTGCTTTAGTTTGCTTGCAGACATGACTTTTTAAAATCAGTTTCAGCTATTAGTGCAATCATATCATTGTTATTCCACCCACCTTGGAGAACTACACAAGAACATTTGTCAATGCACTGAGGCAAAAGGGGAAGGAATTAAGAATTTACAATTAGACCACAAAACCGATGTGCACAGATAGTTATTTGACACCTCATGCAAACCCAGTTACTTGCAGGTTAGCAGTAGTGAAGAGGACACTGGCTAGCCAGGTAGTACACCCCATCTGTGGGTCTACAAGGCTTCAAATCTAGCGCCAAGGTTCCCGGGTTGGGAAGGTTACAAGAGATCCTGCATTTTAATGAAAAGGTATTACAGCTTTCCTGGAGAGGTTACTGATCAACACGTGCTTAGTACTATGTCTTCAGCCGGGCTGCATCACCTCCCGTGTTTAATCCCGGCTTTCACGTAGGACATAGGAGAGGCCGTGTTTCCCTGAGGAGTCGTAACTGTCATGGTAGGGGAGGCCGACCCACTCGGGCGGATATGTCGTTGTGCTGTACACAAAGCACTCTATGACGCCCTCGGCAGCTGCCCGCGCCTCGCCCACACCACCCTTCCCTTCCCACTCCACCACCTCGATTCTCATCAGGGTACGCTGGTACATGTCTGGGCAGCCTTCGAACTCATCCAGGAACTGCAGCATCTGGTCGTCAACCGAGTAAATCTCCCCAGCGACGTGGTGTCCTGTTCCCGGGATGTTCAGCATGTAAGGAATGTTGTATTTGCCTGCAATCACCAGTGGGTACTTCTCCACCGTGCGGCCCCGTCCTTGGAATTTCGCTAGCCCCTTGGCTGTGTTGATCATGTGCTTGTAGTTGGGCTGGCCCTTCTTAAGCGTGCCATAGACGAAGACACGAGCCATCGTACCTGCAAAAGCAGCTGAAAGACAAAGGTGTATGTTACCCACATGGCCTCGTGGGCCAGCGTTCTGGAGAACCTCACCCACACCAAGATGCATTGTACACACAAAGACTGTTTGGGTGTGCACAAAGGGGGCCTTGTAGTCCTAAACCACATTTAAATATCATACTAAATCCAATTATCTCTTGAAACTTTTCAGTCAAGAGATCTAATATTGAAAACCAGATACCAGGGGCAAGTCAGCCTTGCAGTTCTTTGCTGTAATCACATTACAGCCCATGGTTCCTCTTAAGGAATCCTCAACATCAGCCAATGCATTCCTGAGTCTTGGTAAAGAGCTTTCTTCATTTTTCTCTCTTGCACCATGACAGAGCTGTGCTGCAGAAAGTGTGTGGAGTAATGCTCAGCAACACACAAAAGCAAGTTTAACCTGGTGTTTAAATGGGCTAAAAGGCTGGCTTTACTGAAAGGTAAAGGGGGGAAAAGATACCTTCATCGTTCCTGGGTTATTTTTCATGCTGTGCTCCATTTATCCCCTATCGTTTTAAAGGGCAGAGGCAGTTCTTGCACTGTTTGATGGTTTCCTATGTTTTTTGCTCTCCATCACCGACTACTGGGCACAGCTGCCTCACCCACAGCTGGCTGGCTGGGCTGGACACCCAACAGCAGAGGAGCACCTCCACCTCCTTTTGGAAAGAGGGTCACTGAACAGTGAATCTGAAGTTTGAAAAAATCTTTTGAAACAGACTAGGAAAAGAAACTTCGTGTATTTCCTCCTATTTGCTCTTATTTTAGTAAACTGACAAATCAGGTTGGGCATCCAAAAGGGTACATTGCTGGCCAAGAGAGTGTCATTGAAAATCTTCAGTAGCAAAACAACTTCCCCCTTGGTGAAGTAAACAGGTTTTCTCTGTAACAGAATAGTTTTCCAAGCAAAAATGGTTTGTGCCTTCATTTACTGGCAAACTGCTTTCACTTCAGGAAAAAAGACTGCACTGATTTCCTCCCTGTATTTTATCAGATATACATCAGCATAATTTATCCTCCATGACATAAGCAAGTTTTTTTTGGATGCAGCTCATTCCCTCACAATAAAAAGAGCATTAATATTCAGTCCATTTGACTCCCTTTTGTAAGAAAAATCATTACCTTTCATATTGTGTTTTGAATAACAAACACAGATCCTTCAGGAAGAAACTTGTCCCAGTGGGGATTGAGAAAGGATCAGAGTTAAGCACTGAAACATGCAATTAATTCCCATTAGGGGATTAGGGCACTCGTGTTCACTTTGAATCAGAAAAATGAATTGTGAATTAAATTGTTCACTACCAAGAGGTTACTTGTCAGAGTTAATAAGTTAAAAAATAAAACGGGAAACCTAAAACGCACATGAAAAGCTCAACAGTGAGTGGTGCATCTGTAAGAAAAAGATACACTTCATTTCCATTAAACAAAAGCTCCATCCCTACTGTAAAGCTGGAGATAAGCTTCCAAAAAGTTTACAGGGAAGAGTGTTGCCACTCCTGAAATTGGTGAAAACGAAGTACACGTCTGATGGTGCAGCAGACTGCTATTTGGAACCATTACTGATTTGAAGAGACAGCCCGTCATCCTCGAGCAAGACCCACAAAACTCGCCACCACCATCACCCCCCAAAAGAACTTACTAACCCCAGTTTGGATCAATGTTTCTGATTTAGCATTTGAGGAGGTGAATTCAGCAGGCAGCACAAATGGAGATGGGGTGGCAATCTGACATTTCAGCCACAGTCTCTGTAAAGCCACAAGGCTGAGGTACCGGTAGAGCTGTGGCTTCACAGGCAGGCAGATGTTGAGCTCCCCATCACACCGTTGTGGTCCACAGCGGCCCGGCTGCTCACATGGGGTGGGCTGGACACAAGGACTTCTTCTATTAAAAAGCCAACAAAGCCGCAAAGCCAACCCCAGCTGAGGAGTGGTTGAAATAAACTTGGTAAAAACTTCATCTTCTGAATGCTGCTTCATATAAATAAAACATACAGAGTTTTCTGTGCAATAAATCTGGTCTGCTGTGTGCCACGTGTGAGTTGCAGAAAGGCTGTTAGAGGTGTTAGCATCATTTCCAGCATAGCATGGGCTTTCAAAAAAATTTTAGCCACCTTGTGGCAGGAGAGTAAAGAGCAGAATTTTATGAGGGTCATTTCACAGACTTCCACTAAGCAGCTGAAAAGAGTTACGGACAGCATCCCTTCACTGAATCACCAGTAAGAAGTTGACTTTTCTCACTTAATCCAGTTTGACACTTCTTACCTACAGTAAACCACCTAAGAGGAAAAGAAAGCCCACCAAAAACCAAAGAAAATCCACCCCAGACTCTATACTGACTATTAACTGCTAGGACAGAACAAACCCATTCGGAAGGTATTCATGGCAGAATCATTAGAAGGTATTCATGCCAGAATCATTACAATTTAATGGCATAGGGAAATACAAGTGAAATCTGTACATTATCTCTTCAAACTATTTATTTCAGCTATGAAAGGCGACCTGCCAAACTGCTCACAGATCAATTATTAGTTGGTTCCTTACATGAGAGGCAAATAAAGTGACTATTTCAGGACCACACAGGTGCAATATGCTGTTGGGTGAAAAGTGGCTCATAACTGGCATCAGCCAGCAGCCCGGGTTGCTGCTTGGCATCAGTGGTGGTAGGGCTGCATCACTGTACCCACGTCTGTCCTTGCCTATTAATGTTTTAGGTCAGGGCTTTAGTTTTTCCTCTTGAGCTCCAACAGCTCCAGAGCACTAAGAGAGGGATGGATGGCCGTGGGGCAAATAGCTCAGTCAACATGCACTCACAGATGAAGCTGAGCTGCTGCAAGTGGGCTCTTTGCTCCCAGGCTGCATCTAAAACAGGACCTCTCTTCCCAAGCAGCAGCAGCTTTGACAAAAAGCATTGTTTCACCACAATTCAGACAGTTACAGGATACACAAGCTTCTTTCGAAAATGAAATGAGAAACAGGAGATGCACTACCCGGCTCCATGGCTGTTTGTGATCATCGTAACAGTGGTTTTGGGTTTTATTTTGTTGAAACTTTTTCTCCCAACTCAGAAAGTATCCATTTCTCTTGCTCCATACAGTAACATTATTTTCCCTTGAGAAAAACCCTGTGCATCGGCTTGGTGACCAGATATAGTTACACATTAATTCTTCAGAAGTTTCTTAAAACTGTAGGAAACAGGTGAAAAAACAAAATGCCTTGAACTTTAAACTTGAGCCCCGTCTGTTTGAATGAAGCGAGTTTTAAGGTCACTCTTCACTCAATGCTAACTTTCAAGAAGGACTAACATGCCAGAGAGGACTCCTGGGACTGCATCCTGTTGGCCCTTTGATGCTTTCATTTTGTTGCTTGCTATTTTCTTTATAGCACAGACAAGGGCTTCCTGCCTGGGCCGACCCCTTTCCAACCTTGCTGAATACCTCGGAAAAAGTTTATGGCAAGACACCTTTCTTACATTAACCACAGAGGCACCAGCAAAACGATGGCTCCTTTGAAATCAAGAGGTTACGTCCTCACAGCAGTTGTCCGCTCAGAAACTGTGAGGTGCTGGTTTGTGAAAATAAGCAAGATATTAGAGTAACCAGTGCCATGCTGGATGCTACTGGGCACTAACTAAAATACCACTTAAGCTACTTCGCAGATACTTTCAGTTTCATGCTCGGATAGTTTACATCCCCAAACCAACAAATATGCCTGTGTTTAAGCTGGAGTATCTTTGAGTATCTGCCAGGAAGCAGAGTGAGGATGCCCTCCCTTTGGATAAGCATCAATCACAGTGTTACTCATGTGCCTCAAAGCCATTCAGCATCACAGCAAATATTTGCCTTTTGTCTATCTGAAACCATTTCAAATCACTTTCAACTCTACTACACAGAGAAACTTCATTAGACTAATTTTTACTACAACCAGAAAGAGTTTAATTCCCGAAGCAACTGTTAGGAGCAGCTCCAGAGGCCGCCAAGTGACAATCAGATAAAACCACTGCATAAACAGTGGACACACTGCTAACACTGATTAAGAGACTAAATATCTAGACAGTGCACATCACAAGGACAAGAAAAGGAGGATGAAGACAATGGAAAGTCAATGGATGTTGATAAATTGAGTTGGGAGGGATGAGGGTGGGAAGTTGTCCCCCCCAAGAGAATATATTATCAGTACTATTAAGTATTGACTGGTTTGTCCTAATATTAAATAACATTGTATGAGTCTCAGAAGACAGAGTATTATATCAAGCTCTTGCTACCACAATTCAGAAACCTGTGGATTACAAAAGTAGTTAGAAAGAGCTCAGGGACTGTTTTTTAGGGGCACAGACTGAACAAGCAGGAGCTTAAAAACAACTGAGGAGATGAGGCATAATCACCTACAAATACTCAAAGGTTTCATAGAAGAGACAGTGATTAACAGCAGATACATCAGGAAAAGCACAAGAATGGGGCTAGTTGCAAGTTGCACTGGGGGGTTTCCCTGCCACCTCCTCACTTCATCTGATGGATCTTTCTCCCAGTCAGGGGTCTCCGTACACACCCTCTGTGCCGCCAGTTACTTTCAGCTCTTCCTCTCTTCTAGGCTGATGAATCCACATGTATTTAACAGAACGGAAAACATTCCTTACCTGCAATCATCTTTGGCACCTCTTCTAACTTTTCTGGTTCTCCTATAGTTTTATGAGGTAAGGAAACTAGAACTCACTTACCAGAAACATTTGAGAATGGATAAACTATGGCTTTATACAGTGATTTAAATCATGTCTCCTACTTTGTTTACAGTCCTTTCTCCCAATACATTTATGAGTGATAGGGAGCAATAGACTGATGTTTCATAAGAACACAGTGGTATCTCAAGCATTTTATCCTTAAGTGGCAACTGAGGTGTGAAGTGTTCACTGAAAATTCAACTTTGTTGAAGCCTTTAAACTGGAACTCTTGATAAACAGCTATTTGTCCAAAATATCATGGATGCTACACTTAATCT